GTAGTGAGGAGATAGAGAAGGCAGAAGAAGATGTTATTTCGCAGAGAATAATAGCAACAGAGTCTACATGTTCGTAAGGCGGCCTGATCTGGAAGGACTTAATGATCCACTCTGACAGCCTTTTGCTGTTGAGTGAGGGAGAGAGTATTCATAGACTCCAACACCATCATCCTCCGGCTTCAACCATGGTTTGGACTGATGGGAACTGAGATCCAACAACTTCAGGAGGGCCACAAGTTCCCCACCCCTCACTGGTTTTCAATGGATGGACTGGAACACATGATCAATCATACTTTGACCTAACTATTTTTAGGAAAGAGAGGCAGAAGGAATAGAGGAGGATGGAACAGGAGAAATAAATCAAGAGAATGAGGGGAAAGCAAGAAAAGATAAGTGGAGAAATATGATCATATGTGGATTATTTAAAAAGTTGACCTCATTTTTCAAGTTGTTGAAGGTGGATTCCAAAATTTGAAGACTACTGCATTATACTTCTCTCTTTGGCCAAAAATGATTCCAAGATGATATCTCTGACATTCTGGTCTCCCAAACCCAGCAGGGGAGCTATCCAGCAGTATAAGCAGAAAGAGAGTCTACTACTTATCACCTGAGGAGCTGTCCAGAAGATCATTGAACTAGGATCACATATATGGCAACTATAGCATTTGCATCTTCCAAGCATCAGCTGAAGGTTTAAATTAGGAAGGGGAACCTGTGTTCCTTGAAATATTGTTTGACTCCAGGTATCATCAGCTCCAAACAGCAAGGTCAGGAATGATGGAATTTAGATTTGGAGGGCTACAAGTTCTCCATTCCTGGTGTAAGCACTCAGGCTGCCTACCCTATCATTGTCTTTGTAAGGCCCTGATCCTGACCATGCTGCCTTTTTCTGAAAAGGCCACTGACCTGGTATGTTTTGTGTTGACAAATAAGCACAGCATTTTCAGGTTCAAGCCTGAGTTCAGGCTTCCTGCCATTGCTGTTCCTGAGGACCCAGTAGTGATGATTGCAAAGAGTCCCAGAGATAGATGATTCCATTAAGGGCACATTAAGTCACCTGATTCCGCTGGTTCCTTGAGTGGGGTATTATTCTGAGCTATGGTCTCAGGGTGCTGAATGCTCTGTCCCCCTAGTCCTGATGCTGGGACTCATGACTGGATCCTCATCTGTGGAGCTCTCCTCTGAGTCTAACACAAGGAGGATGCAAGTCCCAACAATGACCTTCTCTGGTGTGCCTAGCAGCTCTTAAAGACAAATTAGTTCAATGTTGGTGCTAAGCCCAATTTCAATTCTCTGTCTAGTATTCTAGTCTGCCATGATGTCATCTTACTATTTTTGCCTAAATGTAATATCTCAGCAATACCATCGATAACGTCCTAAGAGCTTTCCATCTTAGCTTGCTGACATTCAGGGCAGGCTGCCCTAAATTGCATATATTATTAGTGTTTTAATGGTTCCCTCATTAAGGTTTCTCCTTAGAGCAATTTATCTTCAGGACATTAATTATTTAGCATTATTTTGTGAGAAGGAGCTTGCGAAATCATCAAGGCTCCTGGATTTTTTAACGTTTGCCCCCAGCTTCAAAATTGCATCTGGTTCTCTCAGACATGATCAAACATTAAGAAAATCAGACATTTCTGAATACACATCTTGAAAACACGGAGATGAAGAGGAAGAAAAAGGAAGGTATTTTAGAAATAAACTGAAGGTGAATTTATATCTAAGGACATTCTCTAGGTGAGAAGAAATCACCTCATAAAACTGTTTAATTTATGCCTGAAGGAAGAGAAGAACTCTTGTGCCAGTTAAATTAATATTAATAGTAGTGGAAGCCTCTACCCATATACTCAGAAATAAGTTCTACTGTGTTTTTGCAGGGGGGTGTTACTCCCTAGTAAGTGAGTTCAAAATTGTAACCTAACCCTAAATTCTATTTTTAAAAAACCCTTCCAGAAAAGGCTGGATTTCAGCTGTGCACTGCAGGATACTATCTGCTTTATCAGTAAAGACATTGTAAGCCAGAGCATTCTTGGAGGGCTGCAGGGTGGTAATAAGGAGGTCTTCCCTTCCCCTCATGCTTCAAAGCACATGTACTCAAGAGTGTGTCTATTTCTGTCCATTAGAACATAAGAACCTAAGAAGTGCTTGCTGGATCGTGCCAATAGCCCATCTAGCCTTCATCCTGTTATCACAGTGGCCAGCCAGATGCTTGTATTATTATTATAATAATAATAATAATAATAATAATAATTATAATTATAATTTATACCCCACCCTCCCCAGCCAAGACCAGGCTCAGGGAGGCTAACAACCAATAATAAAAACATTGTAGCCAAAAGAGGCTCCAGGAAGACAGCTTTGTTCATGATAGCCAAATAAATAACAGCAAATAAGCCTAATCACTGATGAGGCAAGTCCTTCTGCCCTGTAGTAGCCAGTCATTGAGGAATGGACTTAGGTACCTAAGCAGCATAAGCCAAGAGTTAGGTGTCCTATATGAGTACTCTACCTCCATCTACAACAGGTTTGTTATAAATTCCTTTGTCTCACAGAAGCCATGCAGATATAGAGGGTGGATGCTTAAAATGGGCCATAAAGGTAAAACAACCCCTGACCGTTAGGTCCAGTCGTGAACGACTCTGGGGTTGCGGCGCTCATCTCACTTTACTGGCCGTAGCTCAGTGGTAAAGCCCTTCTTTTGCATACATCTCCAGGCAGAACTGGGAATGTCCCCGGTCTGAAATTCTGAAAAGCTTCTGCCAGTCAGTGTAGGCAGCACTGAGCTAGATGGGCCAATGGTCTGACTTAGTGTAAGGCAGCTTCCTATATTCCTAAGGCAATGTGAAATATCCAGACCATTGCCACTCCTACATGCTCCATTGTCCATTCTCTTGAAAGCAGGCACATTAATGATAGGAGGGGGTTATAGCTTGGACTATGCCCATTCAGTCTGTGGCAGCCTGTGTTCCAAATAGCTTCACATTTCAGGGAGGAACCTCCTTGCATAGCTCTAATGCCGCAAAGTTAGCTAAGAAATAGGACTCTGGGTAAGCATGGGTGGGAGGGAGTTTAAAAAGCTCTAGATGCTAAGTTTGCATGCCAAATGCACAAATGGATGACTGCTTTATCTGTGCAATAATCGGGAGGTACAAAATCCTGCTTATCAAGGATGGAAGGAACCTGTGGCCTTCCAGTTGTTGCTGGATTAAATCTCCCATCATCCTTGACTGTTGGCTGTTTTGTCTGAGGCTAATGCGAGTTGGAGGAACATCTGAGTTGGAGGAACAGGTTCCCCACCTGCTGTATATGAATTCCACACCTCTGAGTGTGGAAACTTGTGTAGCCAAAAATGGCACACTCTCTGCAAAAGAGGGTGGTCTTGGCAGGCTTAGCAAAACCCCAAAGTTTGACCCGAGCTGGGGTTTTAAATCTTGCTGATAGCCTTGCCCCCAGCTGCATCTCTCTCCTCCCACCACTGAAATCTCAATTGGCACCTGTGGAAATAGTCTGGGAAGAATTTTTAAAGAGAAAATAAATCTATTTATTTATGCTCCATTTATGAGTTTAGACTGTTTGCTTCGGAGCTGTTTCAAAACATTGTTTAAACATTACATTTTACAAGCCGGTGCCATGTTTATTCATGAGAACAAAGTGGGGCGCTTTTCCTGTGTTCTTAGCAAGGCATAGCCCTCCAAAGAGAAAAGCAAAGGAGAGGTTTTTTTAATGCTTAAGCAACCATGGAGCACCTCTTAGCTGTTTTAGAGGGGTAAGGCAAACGTGTGGCCTTTGTGTGTTAGTGAAGCTTTAATTTCAGATGGTGTTTATAGCTTGCGATGACTTAAGAAATGCAGTTCCTCTCTGTGGAGTGTTCAGTAACTCAAATAAATGATGTTTTATCTTTAATTAAACACCTTGAAGAAATTGCACCAATATTGTTCTACAATATGCTAGCAAACCTCCCTCCCCCCATCCCCCATCATCACCAAATTAACAGGTTCCATTACAACAGCCAGGATTCATTTTGTAATTATTCTGAAGCTTCTGTTCTATAATCCCCCAGTGAAACACAGTGATACTTCAGTAGAAAAGATAATTAAAAGTAATAATTCAGTTTGTTTAGAGGATATAAAAATTAGAGCAGTGCATCAGTGTCTTAAAAATACATTTGTGCTTTTTGGAATATGATATTCTTATCACTGAGTTATTATTGAAATAAGAGCACCTATCATTACCTTTTCAGTTGAAGAGAAAGAAGCAGGTGGTTACATCCAATTTCTACAGAAATTGATGGGTGCAACTAACTTAGGTCTATTAATTTCAATTGGTCTATTCTGAGTAATGATGGGCAAATCTGTCAAATTTGGTTTCTCATTTTTTGAATCTTAAGATCAATTGTTCACATTTCTACACCAGTTTGCAGGGGGAATCCTCATGAGAATTCATTACAATTTTAGTGTATATTTCTCCTAACGTGTATACCTTTGTACATAATTTTTGCAAAACAGTGTTCCTTAATATAATGCATTTTATATGGTATTTTCATTCATAGATGCCTTTTAATGCATACTTTACCCTAGTATATACATTTTTGTGCACATGTACTTCACAGGAGAACTGATTTGCAAAATTTGGAGAAGTGTAAATTTCAAAAAGATGTTTGTGTTTTTGTTCATGTATAGCTTTAGAAGGTGTGAATTAGGTAGGTTCGCCTGTAAATGCAAACTAAATTCGAAGTTATCCCCACCCTAACTCGGAGTACAACTTTGTTGGATATAACCCAAAACTGGTTTTAACAGAAATGCTACCACGTCGGTTTCTTGCCAAGAATGATAAGTACTATTTATAAAAGAGAAATATAGAAAGAATGCTGATAATAAGACATCCCTTATTCTCCATACAGAAATCTGAATGAAATACCCTTAACCATTTTGGGAAGATAAAATGGAAAAGGGGGAAAGAAAAAAAACCTTTCAAAATTCCATTATGGGATTTTTCTCCAGGTTGGCTGGCAGTTAAAGAACCTGGTAAATGCATTGCGTGAAGACCCGAACGGAGTGATCTTAACCTTGAAGAAACGGCCTCAGAACACCCTGGTTTCTGCTCCTGCTCTTCTGAAGAATGTGAGGTGGAAGCCTCTTGCCCTGCAGGTAAGGCAAACGTGGTGTTGCATTTCTGTCTGGCAAACACTGTTTAATGAAGGGCCAAATCACTATAGAGTCCTCTCTTCTTTCTGGTAGGGGGGAGAGAACATTGATGCCTTCAACAGGCCCAGTTAACAATTGCACACATAGCAGCAATGGCTCGACATATGTAGCCTTCTGGGTTTGGGGGACAGTAGTGAAGGGTGCCTGCTGGAACTGGTAGGGTGAAAGACAGAAAGGACAACAGAATATGGAGCTAGGGCCAACTAATTCTGGCTTTGGCGCCCATCTATAATATCAGTGGATGGAAACAAAAAAATTTCCTTCCAGTAGCACCTTAAAGACCAACTAAGTTAGTTCTTGGTATGAGCTTTCGTGTGCATGCACACTTCTTCAGATACACTGAAACAGAAGTTGCCAGATCCTTCTATATAGTGAGAAGGTGGGGATGGGGTATTCCTCAGAAGGGTGGTACTCTCAGAAGAGTAATACCCCTCCCCACCTTCTCACTATATAGAAGGATCTGGCAACTTCTGTTTCAGTGTATCTGAAGAAGTGTGCATGCACACGAAAGCTCATACCAAGAACTAACTTAGTTGGTCTTTAAGGTGCTACGGGAAGGAATTTTTTTTGTTTTGACTATGGCAGACCAACACGGCTACCTATCTGTAATCAGTGGATGGGTGAGACTTTCTTCTTATATCAAATGGCTTACCTAAACAGCCACCAACATGATTTTTAACAGTGCAGTCCTACAAATCTCTACTCATACGTAAACTGCACTGAGTGCAGTGGGATTTACTCTCAGGGAAGTGTGTGTAGGATTGCAGTCCTGATGTATCTGAAAGTGGAACTTCTTGGCTCCCATCCTCGGCAGCCGCTATGCTCTCCCAGCTCAGCAGTGACCTGCAAATTGAGAGCAATGCATTTTCTGAGAATTGTTCCTTTGAGAGGAGAGGACATAAATCTAATGACTTCCCCTTCATATCTTTTTATTATTACCAGGATTCCAAATGGAGGGAGAGCACAATTACAACCACCACATTTTCTGCTCACTGCCCTCAGCCAAAGCGCTACTCATTCATTGGGATCTCTTGGGCAAAGTCAATACTATCAGGCCAAATCACTCTCTGTTTCCATCATATCACCGCTATTCACTCTCCTCATCCACCCCTCCCGCTGCTGCCTTTTTCCCATCTACACTTTTCAAGAAGAAATTTAAAAATCCCTTTTGGATTTCACAGCCTGCTTGCTTTCATGATTTTGTTCCAGAGGATTATGAGTTTGAAGACAAGTATTATTCGTTTCCCAGTATGAAAACAATTGAAGCTATCATGAGTTATTGTTGGCCTGGTGTTGTTTTTTTCCTCGCCTGCTGGGGTTGCTGGAGCTTTCTGCGTGATTTGGAACAGGCAGCTCAGAGTAATACAGCCCAATACATTTTGCTGCCTTAAGGCAGGCAAGATGGTGCCTCCCCATCCCATATACAGAAGCCAACTTTGCTGGCTGTTGGATCTTGCTTCAGCCCAGGCAACGGAGCAGAGTCCGCCTTTGCACCCAAGGGCAGCAGAGGAGATTAGCCCATTAGGGCAAAGGGGGCACTGCCCCACCAACCTCAGAACTGATTCTTCCAAGTCCAGCTTTCTTCCTATCTACAAAGAGTTCAGGGGTTGGTACTGGCTGTCTTCATCCTCCTCCTTGGTCTCAGCTTTGCCCTTTTAGAACTGAGCAGGGAAGAGGATGGGGTCAAAACCAGAGTTTGTTGACACTGTTGTTATCACTGGTTCCACCTACTGTTGGCCTCTCTGCTTTTCACCCTACTAGTCCCAATGGGCACCATTGGAGGGCAAGCATGCAGTCCAAAACATCACTGCTTCTTCCAACCCCACAGTAGTTTCCTAATAGTAGGGCTGGTATACAAAAACCCTGGCTTGAAAAGGGCCAGAACACATGGAATGCGAAATGCATGAGCGTGTTCAAAAGTCCAAAACTTTGTAGATTTTCACAGTAAACAAAAATCACCTCCTCCTTTCTTTCTACTGGAAAGCTTCAACATGGTTTACATACATAGAACAAACATGGTTGTGGTTTTTTGTTTGTATGTGAACTGCTTAGAGATTTGCATTATGTTATTAAAAAAAAAAAGAAGGAACCATGTGCTTGACATTCCTGTCTGAGCTCTTTTTGCTCACTGGAACAAAAATCACCTTTAAAATAAATGGTTGTATCCAGTGTTAAAGGTAAAAGGACCCCTGACCATTAGGTCCAGTCATGGCCGACTCTGGGGTTGCGGCACTCATCTCACTTTATTGGCCGAGGGAGCCGGCGTACAGCTTCCGGGTCATGTGGCCAGCATGACTAAGCCGCTTCTGGCGAACCAGAGCAGCACACAGAAACGCCGTTTACCTTCCCGCCGGAGCGGTACCTATTTATCTACTTGCACTTTTGACATGCTTTCGAACTGCTAGGTTGGCAGGAGCAGGGACCGAGCAACAGGAGCTCACCCCATCACAGGGATTCGAACCGCCGACCTGATCAGCAAGTCCTAGGCCCTGTGGTTTACCCCACAGCGCCACCCACGTCCCTATCCAGTGGTATCCAGTGTTAGCCATCCTTAAATTAGACCCTTTGAAGTTACTGGGCATGATTAATTTAGACCCATTAATTTCAGTGGGTGTACTCTTGAGTAAAACTCAGTTTGCAACAACCCAGAATTTCTGGGTGGTGGCAGAGCAAGAGCCCTCCTTTCTGTTGCCCTGTGGTTAAGGATCTGGAAAGGAGTAAAACACACGCACACTTTCATTGCACTGAAAGTGGTTGCTGCATAGTGAAAATGTATTGTGCTATGCTCTCTGTTGAATGACTGATGCTTCCATTGTCATCACAGTTGTAATAGCTGAATGAGTGAGTGAGAGTTTATTTAGGAGATTTCTCAAAAGTAGGGAATATTTTCTCCTTAAATGACGTGCTTTGTCACTCATCGTCAATTTTTCTTTTGCATTTCAATGCGGCATGTGTTATATACCAGCCACATGGGACTGATTTAAAGCAGCAACATTGGAGGCATCTCCAGCCAATGAGTGCTGCCCAATTTTTGTGCTTTTTAGGAGACAGGATTGCTTGACATCTCTGCTTGACAAGAAGGGGAAGGTAGGTGGAGCAACACATGTAAGCTTCACCTTTGCACAGTAGGCTAGTTTCTACACAAACTCACAAACGACTCTCTGTCCTCCATCTATGCAAGTAAGAGGCGTTATTTGTTTCAACGACATATTCTAGCCATGCAAAAACACTAAAAGGGGGTTTGAAGCAGGTAAAGGGTGTGACCTGAGAAGAAGGTGGGTGGCTGAACAGAGGACATGGCCTGGGGACAGTCCCAAGGGCCAAATGAAAAAGCTTGAAGGGGTGCATTTGGACCTTGTCCCTGTCAGGAGGAAAGGTGGGACATAAATTTAATGAATAATTTAATTAATTCATAATTAGTGATGTGGTGAATATTGGTCAATTGCATTATGCTTGTTGTAAAGATAAAGGTACCCCTGACCATTACGTCCAGTCGTGGACGACTCTGGGGTTGAGGCGCTCATCTCGCTCTGTAAGCCGAGGGAGCCGGCGTTTGTCCACAGACAGTTTTTCCAGGTCATGTGGCCAGCATGACTAAGCTGCTTCTGGCAAACCAGAGCAGTGCACGGAAACACCGTTTACCTTCCTGCCGGAGCAGTACCTATTCATCTACTTGCACTTGACGTGCTTTTGAACTGCTAGGTGGGCAGGAGCAGGGACCGAGCAACGGGAGCTCACCCCATTCCGGGGTTTCAAACCGCCGGACTTCTGATCGGCAGGCCCTAGGCTCAGTGGTTTAGACCACAGCGCCACCCATGCTTGTTGTTGTAGTCAGTAGGAAAATTCAGATATGAAACCATCATTAGATGTTTTGTTCAATCAGCAGTGATGCTGCCTGTATGTATGAACTGGCCCTCAGTATCTGTGTAACAAAAGCCACTGAAGCAAAGCCCCTGAAAGATCTCTCTTGGCCCCATCTCAGCATTTCCCATCAACCGTTTGGCTTTGCCACAACATTCCGCGAATCAGCAGAAGGACGTTATCCTGTGACACTGTTTTATTCCGCTGTTGCCAGCTTTTAATTAGAACACATGGCAGTCGTGCCAGCCTTGCTGCGTTCTCCCCCAGTGGGCCTTGCCATATGTGAGTGGTCTGCTTTCTTATCAGAACCCATGTGGGTGTTTGAGATGGCCTCATTTCCTTACTGTTACTGTTCAGAGTCCCCCTCCCCGCCGACTACTTGCAGCACTGCTAAATACTCATTCATTCCTCAGCTTTATGAATATTTATGGTTGAGAGCTGTTGATTACTTCATTGACTTACTGCACAGCATTGTAGCATCAACACTGACTAACCTAGGGCTTAAATTAATTTTTTGCAAAGTATAAAAGCAATATATTTCAAATGCAAGTGGTATCTGAATACACATATTGGCAGGAATGTATTTATGAATTAGACATGCTGTATTGGAGCTTTGTGGCTGTTTACCAGTTCCTCTGAAATACTCGAGAACAGTGTCAGGCTCACTGAAGCATCGAATCTGTGCTGACTAACCTCAAGGGCTGTTAGATGCCCAGGAAATAGTCCAAGACTGAGTCCTGACCTGCTGTATTGATAGTAGGGATGGATGGATCTGTCAATTTTAGTGTCTCTCCATTTCTTACTTTTTCACTGTTAATTTCAGTTCCTCACATTTCAACAGCAATTTGGAATTATTATTCTTAATTCAGCATTTTAGTGTGAATTTCTCCTAAACACATTTTTGAATGCAGTTTTGACTCATGGCTTGTCAACACTTCTGCTTGTTCTATGCCTGGAAAGTATGTGGGCAAGTTTTCCACTTGCCCATTTTTTTTAGGCACGGGTCCTGCCTTTCCCCCACCACTTTCCCCCATAATACATATTTGTATAAAATTTTCATATATGAATTTATATGTCTAGGTGCCTCTGAGAAATTAAGACAGTGAGTAGTTGGAGTCTCATCAGTACTGCACTTTGCACTGAAACCCAGCTGCCCTATAAGCAAAGTTTAAGGAACAGGAAATGGGCAGCAGGTCTGGGGCCCATCACAAAAGATTCAGGGCCTGTGGTCCCTGGGACAGCCCTTAACAATACCCCTTCCTTTTCCTCATGGGAGGAAACTGGATGGGTAGTGGGAAAACTGGATAGTGACGAACAGCCAAGTAAGAACTTGTAACCTGCCTTGGGAAATTAATTTTCTCAGGGCTTCCAACACAAAATTATTGCTGTTCCCTTAAGAAGGCTGACAGTTGCCGTTTTTCTCATCCCTGTTCAAGCCATGAGGTGAAAAGGAGAAATGAAAGCTAGCTAATTATGAACTGATCTCAAACTTGTGCTCTACTTGTAATTAGCCTGGAAGTTCTGAGTCATGTGCATTTTTACTTTGCATTGACAAAATATATACCTCTTCTGAAATGTTTTGGATTTTATTCTGACCTAAAAATGATGTATTTAAGTTGATCTAACAGGCAAGAGGGTGGTAACCAAACAGAACTCAAGAGGCTAAAAACATTAGAAAATATTTATTTTGTACGTATAAAAGGAATTTCTTTTCCTTCCTTCCTTCCTTCCTTCCTTCCTTCCTTCCTTCCTTCCTTCCTTCCTTCCCTCCCTCTCATTATTTCTTCTCTTCTTCCTCTCTTCCTCTAACTTTCTCCTCTTTTCTCTCTTTTCCTTTCCCCCCTTTTTGTGTTTTGTGCTTTTATCTAGATTAGTGTTTTACTTTTGACAAAAAAATATACTTGGTATTAATTTCTGTAAACCTTTTTGCTAAATTCCAATAAAATCTGTTTCTTAAAAAATAAAATATTTATTTTGAAGGCAGCAGCAGAAAGCAAGTGAACACATAACAGCTTATGTGAGATACGAATGTAATGACATCAAAGAGAAATCAGCACATTATACATGAATGAATCTTGGGGAAGGGAGAAATATGGAACAGCATATGCAAAAAAAAAAAAAAGATTATATGGGGGAGATTAAAGGGAAAAAAATAAGGGGGAGATAGGGCATGTCATGATAAACTATAAAATGCTTCTCCTACACCTCCCCCACCCCCTTTTGTTTTTTTATGAGGTTTTAATTAAAAAGTTGATAATAAAAGTATAAAAACACATAATAAAAATAATATTTTTAAACATTTTAAAGATCACATTTTATAGGTGCCATGACACACTTCAGGGCACGTTGGGTCTTTTACGTTCTATCCTGTTAAATCCCCACTGCTTTTCCATAACTCCTGTGGTTAGTTGAAGCCCCCTTGCCGTCAGGGGGCAAGGTCAAGAACCGGTGCAGGGGCATCTGTGCTCAGGGTCAAAATGCAATAGGTAAGTCGTTGTTTGATTTGATTTGCTCCTTGAGATTCCATAATGGGAGATGACCTGGATTGAATCTTGAACGTTAATCCATGTTACCAGCGATTTACTACCATCAGTAAGGTGTTATTTTTTAAAAAAAATTTAAAAAGCATGGGAGATTATTGTGGTGGGGTGGAAAGAGAAAGAGTGGCCTTTGCTATTGTGCCATCTTCTTGGAGCTTCCAATGCTTCTACTAAATAGAGTAATTTCTGCAAATATCTCTTTTGGGGAGAAATTCTTGTTGCAGCCAATTTAGGAGAGAGATTCCAATAAGTTGCTGGTTCCTGCTGGGGCAGTGAATATTCCAGTTTTGTTGCATTGGCAAAAAAAGAATAAAAAAGGGTAGAACTGGCTAGAGTATTCATTGTGTGCTCTCTCTCTCTTTCTCTCTCTCCAGCCTGTTATTCCTACCAGCCCAACTAGCAGTTGCACAACACCAACCAGCACGATGGGCATGGGCTCAAAAATGGACAGCTCGACTCTCCAAGATGTTTTCATCCTCTCCCCTATGTCAGGACTCTATGGCCCCAGGTATCCCTTGCCCTTTGACTGGTTTTGCATCCTGGGTTTGCATAGCCGTAATTTCAGGCTAGAGAACAGAAAGAGTCTCTCTTTCTATCAGGCTTTCTCCCTTGCAAGTGCACTCGTGCGCACACGTAGAGCCATTAATTCAAATGCAAAAAAAAAGGTCACAGCAATTAGTGCATTGGAGCAGAGAATACTCTTACCCTGTCACTCTCCTGTGCATGGTAGAGAATGAGAAAACCCTGCGCTCCTGTCCTGTCTCTGATGCCACTGAACATTCAAGTGCGGGCATAACTAAGGCATGCATGTTTAAAATCAGTGGGCATATGTCCAGACCACACAATCAATATCCCACATGGAATCTGCAATTCGACCCCACGATATGGATGCATGCATATCTGCCCAATTTCAGGGAGTGCATTCCTCCAGATGTAGTTGGACTCCGGCTCCCATGCATCCCAGCCAGCATGACCAGTGGTTGGGGTTGATAGGAGCTGGTAATATCTGGAGAGCCACGGGTTCCACACTCATGTTTGAATGTGAATCCAAATGTACGAGTCTACTAGCATTGGTCATAAGACAGTGTGCTTGATGGGAGGCAAGTGAAGGGGCCTTCCCACTCCCTGATACATGTAAGGAGAGAACAGATAAGTGTATCATCCAATCTGTCTTAGGACAGAGAAGGCTTGCTATCATGTGAAGGGATAGTGTGGCTTAATGGTTTGAGTGTTAGACCAGGACCATCCTGTGTGCATGCAAATTTAAAAGGGGAAACCCTTAAAACGAGGGAAGGGCTGTAGCTTGGTATGCAGAGCAGATGCTTTAGCACTGAACATCCCAGGTTCAATCTCTGTAGTGCTGAGGAATGATCCTGCATGGAAGCCTGGAAACCTGTTGCTATTTCATAGAATCATAGAATTGTAGAGTTAGAAGGGACCGCAAGGCTCATTGAATCTAACCCCCTGCAATGCAGGAGTCTTTCACCTAACGTGGGGCTTGAAGCCACCAGCCTGAGATTAAGAGTCTCATGTTCTACGAACTGCGGTGTTGTACACAACACTGAACTAGATGGCTCAGTTAAAGGCAGCTTTCTGTGCTCCTAAAAATCTGCACAGAAATCCAAAGTAAGTAAGTAAGTAAGTAAGTAAGTAAGTAAGTAAGTAAGTAATAAATAAATAAATAAATAAATAAATAAATAAATAAATAAATAAATAAATAAACTTCCAATGCTTTCAGGGGTCTGCAAGCACTGCCCCTGCCCTCTCAATCCCAGCCCTTATTTTTTAAGCAAAATCCAAAATACAGCATCAAGCCAACCGCAGCCTGGAGCAGCTAACCCACAGGACTCCCTCCCCACCACTGGAAGTCTCAAAGGCACTTGCACAGAAAAGTCATTGCTTCCCCTAAGTAGAAATGATCAGACTTTTATTTTCAAGCACCAGTCATTGACTTTGCACCCCTCTTTGTTGATTATTTTAGGACTAAATAGGAGACCAATGAGAGCCCCACATGTGCTTTCTGGGGCAGAGCAGGATACGATCTATAATAATAGTGCAGCAATATATGGCATGCTTATTCTTTGTACTGGATGGGAAAGCATAGGTTATCTCTCTGCAGCTTTTCATTACTGATGCTCCTCCGATTTGCTGTTTTGCTCATTTCTTCCCCTACAGAGATGATCTTGGAATGGTGTCTTGTGATGATGTCAGCAAGTATGGCGGTGGAAAGTCTGGGATGAAGGGTTCTGAGTCTCCCAGCTACTTTTTGGAGCACGAAAGTGGGAAGTATTACACGTTAATCGAAGGCGAGGGCCACCCAGTAAGCTCTGAATATGAAAGAGGGAGAGCGACGGGGGTGCGACGAAGAGAAAAGACACCCACACATGGTACACTTTCCTTTTGTTTTCTTGTTGTTATTTCATACAATGGTAGGCCACTCCACAGCCTAAGTTCACCTGGGAAACTGTGGCCTTATTCTGAATGGCCATGATGGAAAATGGTGGTTTCCTAAGGGTGACCCACACCCCAAATCTGGGTTTCAGCACACAGCCATGACATCTGGTTACTGGGCAATACTGCCCAGAGAAGGTTTGTCCATTAGGGCAAATGGGTCACTGCCCCACCAACCACAGCCTGTCCTCAGCCAGCCCCTACAACCAGTCCAGTCCAGAGGATGGCACTGCCTATCACCTTCCTCCTTCTCCTCCTCCTCCTCCTCAGTCGCAGTGCAGCCTTTCAAAACTCAGCAAGGAGAAGGATGGGGGCAAATCCAGAATGAGTCAGCTTTGCTTGGCTCTGGCTCTGGTGCTACCCATGGTTAGACTCCCTGCCCAGTGGTCACCGGCCACCACTGATAATGACCAAATAGGTGGCCAAATAACCTGGCCTGGTATAAGGCACCATCCTAAGCTCTCCAATAGCTTTGCGCAAGTGATGAGCCCTTAGATGTTTCACTAATATCATGATTCCAGTTGTGGGAATCTCTTCCATTTGAGAAGAGGATGAGGAATGGGAGAGGATAGCCATTGTTTCCTTTTCAGACACAGGTGTCCAACTTGTGCAAGCATTAATAAACATTGCTTATATGATTGCAAAGAGGTTTGCTCTCCCTGTTTCACTTGGACAGGTTCTGAAGCTGATTGGTAATCGATTGCCAAGAAGTGCTGGCCTGGAAACTCATTAGCTTTTGCTCCCAGTCTTTACTTTTTGCATGGCTGTCGAAAGAAATGACAATAAATCGGATTCTGAGAGATGGATGTCTTGTTGACGCACCAGGTGACCTGTTGGAACTTGTACAGTGCACAGAACAGTTTCTGTTCCAGTGCTGTAGTGGCTCCCTTGCAATGATTCGTTTAAGTAGCTCAAACTCAAGGGGGGCACATCTATCAATGCCTGTCAGGTATGATAGCTAAATGCAGCCTCAGTGTTTAAATGCAGCATACTGCTGAGAGGTAAGGAGGGAATGGGCATCTCTATCATGTCTTGCATATCAGTTTCCCAATGGCATCTGTCTGACTTCAGCTGGGATCAAATCAGTCCTTAGTTTGAGCTCAAGTCCGCAGCTCATTGTCTGACCACATGGCTTTGCATGAAAAAGGTCCTAGATTCAATTTTGGTATCTCCACGTAGGAGTGGAAAAAAGCTGCGGTCTGAAATCCTGTACAGCACCTGCCAATGGGTGTAGTAAACAATACTGAAACAGGTGGACCAATGGTCAGAGTTAATGTAAGGCACCGCCATAAGTCTGCATTATACTGAGTCACACCATCTAGTTTAGAATTACCAATCACCAGATGTGGTTGGACTACAACTCCCATCAGCATTGCCAATGGTCAGGGATGGTGGACACTGTAGTCCAAAACATCTGGAGCGTGCCACGTTGGAGAAGACTGCTCTATAACATCAAGTCTCCCAATTAGTCAGCATGGCATAGGGTACAGTGTGTTGATATTGGAATGGGGACACCCAGGATCAAATCCCTATTCTGCTATAAAACATATTGGATGAACCTGGGCTAGTTGCTCTCGCTCAGCCTAGCCTACCTCCATTAGGGTATCAGTGGGGTGAAATCTTACATACATTTCCCCTGAGCTCCGTGCTGGAACAACAGGCTTGAAATATGATGAATAAGTAAAAAAGAAGACAAGGAAACAGAAATATGTCTCTATGCCCCTGAGTAGAACATCTGTGGTTTCTCCTTTGGCAGATGTTTAAAAGGACTTGTAACTAGGTCATGTCCAAAGTGGGGTTTTAAAAGTCAGGTGCAAAGGAAATGAAAGTCCTCTAAAGCAACACCATGAGAGGTTCTGCTGGGAAAGAAGACATATTAGCCAGGAAGCTGGATGCAGAGATTGCAGTGAAGAGTGGATATCTGTCACATAGTGTAGAATAGCTTCTTCTTTCTTACTTTTGAAAAACAGTTCTTTGAAATTTGAACTGTCTTTTCTCTGCATCCTTTGAAATGAGAATTTCCAAAGTGTTGGTTGTTCCCAAAAGGATTAGACATGACAGTCATTTCTAGAATTTATAGCACGGATTCTGGTAGCTGTTTTAAGGCTTCCCCTTGCCCCCCGGCAGTCTCCCTGGTCTTTTTCTAACACGTTAAATAGATAGCTCCATAGGCATCATAAGGAAAGTATTACGGTTGAGTTTTGAGATTTGATGCATTTGATACATTTTAGTGGGATGGATGCATTCATAAAAATCTTGTGGACTATCAACTTATGCTTTCTTGATTCTTTTTAGCATGCAAACATATCTTTCCATGGCTCCTTCAAAGCTTCTGCAAAACATAGAGGAACTGTGTGGAGTACTATGCAACCCTAAAGATGAACAAATTGATTGATTTATAAGCTCTTGGGGGTGGAGGGGAAGAGGCCATGACATCAGTTTAAGTCACAACAAATGTAATACTTTTCAAAGTGACACAAAATCTCATGTTGGTTAGCAAAACAAGGGATGGGGAATCTGTCAGTTCCTCAGTTCTGTTGCTCATTTTTCCAATCCACATCAGTTTGTGATTTTAAAGAAGATATTAAAAAGTCCTCATGAAAATGCATCAGAAGTTTTGTGCAAATTTATCCTAATATGCACATTTTGTATTCAGTTTTGTCTGCTGATGTGAATTTTTGTACCTTACTTTCACTAATATGTGCATTTTTGTTCACATTCATTGTGAATCTTGAAAGATGGTTGTGCTTCAGTTCACACATTCTTTCTGAAAATGCAGATGAACTTGGCCCACCTTTATATGCAACCTGAATTGATTTTCTGCCCCATCCTTAGCTGCAATGCATTCTCATAGCTACCCATTGAGAACCACGTTGCTCCGTTAGAGAATAGTAACAACAGCAAGTGCAATACTTTTCTGAGGACTGATTAACTTCATCAAAAAGTGGTGACCAAGCTGTTGGATCCTCCAGAACTCTTCTGAAGGCTGAATGCTTAATGAAACAAAACAAAAACAGAAAGAAGATTGTTGAGAGGAAGGATATTGCTGACAACATGAAAAGCTTGGAGGTTTTGTGCAGATAACATAGAAGTTATCACATACCTAGGTATTAGGGAGAAATTTGATTCAGTTCGCATTTTAATGAGAACCTACCTAATTTGCTCTTCCCAAAACAATATGCAGATCAAAATGCAGTTGCACTTTTTCCTAATTTTGTCATGCAATTCTCCAAGCAAAAAATGTACATAAAACTGCATATGTTAGGGGAAAACATGGAAATGTGTTTATTGTTGAAAATAACATACAACAATGCAAACATACAAAAACAATGCAATACAATACAATATACAAAACATTTGGGGGAAGTGCTTGCAGATCCAATGTTCTGGTTGCTGCTGCATTCCAGGGTCATGGCCACGACCTAGGAGAAGCCCACAGAGCTGGGTTTGGAACAGTTGAGGAGGTATAAAAGATAAGGAATTAAGAGTTTGGCTGCTGGGAACCCTAACTGGAGGGAAATATGAATCCGTAAAGGAGTTTTATTACATGTGGGTGATTTTCTCTCCTTATTGCGTACAAATCAGCACTTGGCTGAGGTGTGTTATTCGATTGACACTGGAGAGCAGAACTTAAGTAGGACTTAATACAACTACCATCTTCATTCTCTGCTTTTTCCCTGAGCCACAAAAATCTCGTTGGCATTTTGCCTTAATAGTAGGATCAAAGCGAAGATGGAATGGCTTTGCCTTTAAAAAAAAAGAAAGTGAGCCAGTAAGGTGGATTTGGCTTGCTTTCATAAAGTCTGAGTGAACAATGACTTCTAGCTAAGACACCAGCTACATTATACTAGAGCTGGGTTCCAGTGGCGTTTGGATTTTCTTCTGATCTTCACATTTGGTCTGCGGCATCTATTTGAAGGAAATATATTAGCAGATGAAAGCTGCTTTCTTAAAAATTGCAGGGTCATTTCACCTATAACATTAATGCAATGTGTTTCTGCTGCAGCCCAACCACATCGTTTTAATAATGTTTCATAGGCACCTGCATGCCCGAAAACTTTTGGTAAACAACATGCAGTCATTGCTTGAGCTTCCATAACAGCATAGAGTGTTCATGGATGTTCTAATGGCAATAGGATGTTGTGTAAGTGAATAAGCATTAAGGGAGAAGCAGTTCTGTAAAACTGGCTATGTGGGATCAGCCTTCTTTATGGTCCAGTTCTCACCTCCTCCTCCTCCTCCTCCTCCTCCTCCTCCTCCTCCCCTGTCCATCTGGCTGGGTTTCCCCAGTGCTGGGTCCATAACTTCTCAAGTGGGAACCAGTGTAGTGTAATGGTTAGAATGAGGGACTAGGTTGTTGGAAACCAGGGTTCAAATCCCTACTCAACCAAGAAGCTCACTGCATGTCCTTGATGCAGTTATTATATCTCAGCCTCACTGGACGGTTGGTGTGAGGATAAAATGGAGAAAGGGAGTACCACATATGTCTCCTTGGGGTCCTTGAAGGAAAGGTGGGATATAATTATAATTAGCAGTAGTAGGACCCTTTCCCTAATAATAATAATAATAATACCAACAAATTTTGCCCAAATTTTGGAGCAGAGGAAAACTGCCTCCCATTTTCAGATTTCAGGGTTGGGGCAAAATTTACAGAAGCTACCATATTTTTTGCCCCACAATGCCACTCAGAGTGAAACAATGTCAAGCTGTAGCATCATCGGAGGTATTTTGAGGAAATAAACAAAGCAGCCATAAGCCTAGGAAGAGCCTAGAAGAACAAAGGTGAGCTTTACAGCCCCATTTTTGAAATTTGCTACATCCCTGAAATGAGATGGATTCGCCCCAAAGCTGCAAACAAAGTGTCTGTTTGTTCAGTCCTAATTTTAACCCTTGACCCTGAGTGTTTTTACGCCCATCTTGAACACTTTAGGCATAG